GTTAAAACTAAACCAAACCGAACAACTACAATTGAATTCAATTTTTTATATTTTGTTTCAGTTTTTTAACGATTCAGTTTTATATTGTTGCGATTCAATTTAGGGTTTAATGCACCAAACCTAGGAGTGGACTCGGGCCGGGCCAACCGGCCCGGAACCGGACCGGCCCGCTACTGTGCGGGCCCGGACCGGCCCGCTACTGTGCGCGCCCGGACCGGCCCGGTTTGTCGGTTAGGTCACGGTTCAGGCCACCCGGCCCAGTCATGTAGCGGTTCGGGCCCGGGCTCATATTTTGGTGAACCGGCCCGGCCGGGCCTCAACGGTCACCATTTTAAAAAAAAATTAATTAATTCAAGGCTCTACTAGCCGTTGGGAGACCTCCCAAACGGCTCTATAGCCGTTGGGAGCATAGGAGGGGGGGGGGGGTCTGGGGGGTTAGGGGGGGGGGGGTATACAAAAAAAACCTATTTATACTCCTATTTTCTATACATTTTTTACACCTCTTCTTCTACAACTCTTCCTACTCTCTAAATTCTCTATTCTCTCAATCTCTCATATTCAATCATCTTCATTCTTCATCTTCTCCAAATTCTTTCTACATATATATAATTTATATAATTATTATATCTACTTATATATTATAATATTAATTATCTACTTATAAATATATACTTATACACATTCATATTATAATTCTTTACGCATTATATTATATATACTATATATAGTTATACATTATATTATATATTACTTATAATATATTTACACATTATATATTTATATATACTATATATAGTTATACATTATATTATATACTCCCTCTGTCCCGCTAACAATGGGACAAGAGGGAGTAGCACGCAAATTAATAAAAAGTGGTTTATGTGGTTTATATTGAATTGATAAAATAAGAATAAAGTAAGAATGATCTAGAACCACACAAACTTTACCAAATTTGATATGGGACAATCTTAGTGGGACGAACCGCTAAGGTAAAATGGGACAATCATAGCGGGATGGAGGTAGTATTACTTATAATATATTTACACATTATATATTTATATATACTATATATATAAATTACTTAATTTATATATACACTTCTCATTTATCTATTTAATTACTTAATTGTTTCATTTGTCATATTAATATTAGTTAAAGTAGTTAATTGTTTCATTTGTCATATTAATATTAGTTAAAGTAGTTAAAGTTAATTGTTTCATTTGTCATATTAATATTAGTTAAACTACTTAATTGTTACATTTCTCATATCAGTTAATTGCTACATTTTTACATTTCTCATATTAGTAAATTGCTACATTTTTACATTTCTCATATTAGTTAATTGCTACATTTTTACATTTCTCATATTAGTTAATTGCTACATTTTTACATTTCTCATATTAGTTAATTGCTACATTTTTACATTTCTCATATTAGTTAATTGCTACATTTTTACATTTCTCATATCAGTTAATTAGTTAATTGCTACTTTTTTACATTTCTCATATTAGTTAATTGCTACATATCTCATTAAAGTAAAAAAAACTAGTTAATTTTTACATTTCTCATATTAGTTAATTACTTAATTGCTACATTTTTACATTTCTCATATTAGTTAATTGCTACATTTTTACATTTCTCATATTACTTAATTGCTACATTTTTACATTTCTCATATTAGTTAATTAGTTAATTGCTACATTTTTACATTTCTCATATTAGTTCATTGCTACATATCTCATTAAAGTAAACAAAACTAGTTAATTTTTACATTTCTCATATTAGTTAATTGCTAATATTTGTTCAATTTTAAAGATGGAGCGTGGTAGACATTCTGTAGATGTGGGTAATCTCCAACGCAACCGCAAGAGGGAGATTGCATCGACTCGATCTACTTCACGCAAAGGCAAAGGTAAAGCGCGGGCCGAGTCTTCTTTTCAAAGTCGAGATGATTTTGAAACGGATTACCAACGGAGAGATGGTATGATGATGTCCGACGAGGAACTACAACACCTATTGTCCCAAAATGATCCACGTTTTGCACAAGAACAACAATTCCCGACAACCATCAATGAAGAGGAGCTCGAGGATGACGATGGGGAGGAGGACGCGGGGGGCGACGAGACTCCGGATGATGAGCAAGAGGACGAGGGCCCGTCAACGACTACAACCCAAATGGGTAAGAAATATAAATCTCCTATTATTGAAAACAATTATACAAAAAGGAAAGACGAACAAACCGAAAAATGGTACGCAAGTTGCAATCATTGCAAGAAAGAGTTTAGCTTGGGAACTTCTGGCGGATACGGGAGTCTCAAAAGGCATCTTCAGACCGCCCACTTTGTGGAGTATGCGAAAATAGACAAAGGAATGGGGAAGCAAACACAAATATCAAGGTTTGCAAAGTCTCAACCCTTTGGTAATTTTTCCTATGATGATAAAAAACATTTGACTGGTATGTCTCATTTAATTGTTGAAGAAAATTTACCCTTTATTTTTTCCGAAAGTCTTGCTTTAAGAGATTATGCTCAAGGTACTTTAAATCCTCAATTTAGAAATTATAGTCACAAAACGATTAAAAAAGAAGTTATAAGGCAATATAACTTGGAAAAAGAAAAATTACAAATATTTTTCGCAAACTTTGATGGACGTGTTAGTATTTGTAGCGATATATGGGAGGATACTTATCATCATTTATATTATTTGGGTCTAACTGCACATTATATTGATGATGATTGGAATATGCATAAACGTGTTCTTGCTTTTCGTGAATTCAATGATCGTCACACTGCTGATAATATTTATATTCTTATTGAACGTATTTTAATTGAGTATAATTTGATTGATAAGGTGTTTGCTGTAGGTTTTGATAATGCTAGTAATAATACTGCTGCTATACCTAGATTACGTGAATTGTGTGGTGCTTCTACATTGATGAGTAGATTTTTTCATCAACGTTGTGCATGTCATATTCTAAATTTGTGTGTACAAGATGGTTTAGCGGGCATTAGGAAATGCTTTGGAGGTAGTGAAGGGGGGAATTAAATTGATTTGGGCTAACACTCCACTAAAAATGCAACGGCGGCAATATTTGAAGGATAGACGTGTGAATTATTGTGCTTTTCCTAAAGATTTGTCTATTCGTTGGAATAGTACTTATAATTTAATTCAAGTACTTGTTAGATATAAAGATCATTTTCCACCTTTTTTAAGACAAAGTTGTAACTATATTATAAACCCGGTTGACATAGACACTTGTGAAAAAATTGTTAATGTTTTGGCATATTTTAATAACGCAACTCTAACTTTTAGTCATGTTTATAAACCTACCGCAAACGAATTTTTTGTTGAAGCTGTTAATCTCGCCGGCGCTTTTTGTGAATTTTCCGACGCCACTTACGTTAGTTATTTTTGTGATTTCATGAAACAAAAGTTTTTAAAATATTATTCACATATTCTGCATATATATGATATTGCATTTGTTCTTGATCCTCGTTATAAACTTTCTTACTTGGCAAATTGTATAGATTACTATTATGCTTCTTTTTTTCCAACTCAAGAGTTCGATGATAATCCCATCGACCCTAAACAAGAATTCAACGAGGTTAGTAATTTATTTCATCAATTGTATAATGAATTTCATGCACAATATGGTAATGCACCCCCTCCCATGCAACGAACATCTTCTTCATCTAAAGGAAAATCACTTTTAAAATCCGCTTTTGGTTCTCTTTTGAAAAAAAGTAGAGCAACTCCCGCTACTGAACAAAGCTCAGGTAACGAGCTTTCTTTGTATCTAACATTGAATGTTGATTATGAAGTTGGTGATGACTTTGACGTTCTTAAGTGGTGGAAGGAAAATGAAAGAACATTCCCGATTTTATCAAAGATGGCTAAGCAAGTACTAGCAATGCCGATATCAACCGTTGCCGTGGAACAAGAATTCAGTGCGGCCGACAACGTCCTAACCGATTATAGAATGAGGTTGAGCCCGAGCTCTCTTGAGACACTAGTTTGCTTTCACGATTGGTTGAAGGCCCAACGAAGAACTCAAGAAATTACCATCACTCCTACCCGCCACTTTATGGAGGAAACAACTGAAGGCGGAGAGTCCGATTGATTTTTTATTACAAAATGTATTACATTTTTTAAATTCATCCTAATTCTCAATTGTACTTCTTATTTGAAATAAATATACTTCAATTCGAATATAATATATTGTAATTGTAATAAGAATTATTCTAATTATATAATATTTAAAAAAAAAAATAGGCCCGGCCCGCCGGGCGGGTGACCCGAACCGAACCGGATCCGGGGTTATCCGGGCCGGTTCCGGGCCTGCCTTCCTTGAACCGAGGCCCGGCCGGTTCTAGGCCCGAACCGGGCCCGGTCCGAACCGAGTCCACCACTAACCAAACCCCCTCGTGATATAGAAATTCAGCGCATTAGCCCATCTGATTTGAAAAATGCGTGAAATCCTTTTTATGAATAAATTTAAGAATTTGGAAATCACTTTACCTAATATTTTGATTGAATATGCAAGTACATATGTCAAAATCTCTAAATCATACAAAAATGTTAATTATTTTTCTTTTATTTGACAATTGAATTTGTTCATAGAAGAGATTTTGCGCATAATTAATTAAAACACAGGAGGATTTGACGCATTTTTTAAATCACAGGGAACTAATTCGCCGAATTTCTATATCACATGTAGGAATGGACTCGGGCCGGTTCGGGCCCGGTTCGGGCCTGGGCCCGGCCGGGCCTCGGTTCTAGGAAGGCAGGCCCGGAACCGGCCCGGATAACCCCGGGTCCGGTTCGGTTCGGGTCACCCGCCCGGTTCACGGGCCGGGCCGCCCGGCGGGCCGGGCCGGGCCGGGCCTATTTAATTTTTTTTTAATTATTATATAATTAGAATAAATCTTATTACAATTACAATATATTATATTCGAATTGAAGTATATTTATTTCAAATAAGAAGTACAATTGAGAATTAGGATGAATTTAAAAAATGTAATACATTTTGTAATAAAAAATCAATCGGACTCTCCGCCTTCGGTTGTTTCCTCCATAAAGTGGCGGGAGGGAGTGATGGTAATTTCTTGAGTTCTTCGTTGGGCCTTCAACCAATCGTGAAAGCAAACTAGTGTCTCAAGAGAGCTCGGGCTCAACCTCGTTCTAAAATCGGTTAGGACGTTGTCGGCCGCACTGAATTCTTGTTCCACGGCAACGGTTGATATCGGCATTGCTAGTACTTGCTTAGCCATCTTTGATAAAATCGGGAATGTTCTTTCATTTTCCTTCCACCACTTAAGAACGTCAAAGTCATCACCAACTTCATAATCAACATTCAATGTTAGATACAAAGAAAGCTCGTTACCTGAGCTTTGTTCAGTAGCGGGAGTTGCTCTACTTTTTTTCAAAAGAGAACCAAAAGTGGATTTTAAAAGTGATTTTCCTTTAGATGAAGAAGATGTTCGTTGCATGGGAGGGGGTGCATTACCATATTGTGCATGAAATTCATTATACAATTGATGAAATAAATTACTAACCTCGTTGAATTCTTGTTTAGGGTCGATTGGATTATCATCGAACTCTTGAGTTGGAAAACAAGAAGCATAATAGTAATCTATACAATTTGCCAAGTAAGGAAGTTTATAACGAGGATCAAGAACAAATGCAATACCATATATATGCGGAATATGTGAATAATATTTTAAAAACTTTTGTTTCATGAAATCACAAAAATAACTAACGTAAGCGGCGTCGGAAAATTCACAAAAAGCGCCGGCGAGATTAACAGCTTCAACAAAAAATTCGTTTGCGGTAGGTTTATAAACATGACTAAAAGTTAGAGTTGCGTTATTAAAATATGCCAAAACATTAACAATTTTTTCACAAGTGTCGATGTCAGCCGGGTTTATAATATAGTTACAAGTTTGTCTTAAAAAAGCTGGAAAATGATCTTTATATCTAACAAGTACTTGAATTAAATTATAAGTACTATTCCAACGAATAGACAAATCTTTAGGAAAAGCACAATAATTCACGCGTCTATCCTTCAAATATTGCCGCCATTGCATTTTTAGTGGAGTGTTAGCCCAAATCAATTTAATTCCCCCCTTCACTACCTCCAAAGCATTTCCTAATGCCGCTAAGCCATCTTGTACACACAAATTTAGAATATGACATGCACAACGTTGATGAAAAAATCTACCCATCAATGTAGAAGCACCACACAATTCACGTAATCTAGGTATAGCAGCAGTATTATTACTAGCATTATCAAAACCTACAGCAAACACCTTATCAATCAAATTATACTCAATTAAAATACGTTCAATGAGAATATAAATATTATCAGCAGTGTGACGATCATTGAATTCACGAAAAGCAAGAACACGTTTATGCATATTCCAATCATCATCAATATAATGTGCAGTTAGACCCAAATAATATAAATGATGATAAGTATCCTCCCATATATCGCTACAAATACTAACACGTCCATCAAAGTTTGCGAAAAATATTTGTAATTTTTCTTTTTCCAAGTTATATTGCCTTATAACTTCTTTTTTAATCGTTTTGCGACTATAATTTCTAAATTGAGGATTTAAAGTACCTTGAGCATAATCTCTTAAAGCAAGACTTTCGGAAAAAATAAAGGGTAAATTTTCTTCAACAATTAAATGAGACATACCAGTCAAATGTTTTTTATCATCATAGGAAAAATTACCAAAGGGTTGAGAATTTGCAAACCTTGATATTTGTGTTTGCTTCCCCTTTCCTTTGTCTATTTTCGCATACTCCACAACGTGGGTGGACTGAAGATGCCTTTTGAGACTCCCGTATCCGCCAGAAATTTCCAAGCTAAACTCTTTCTTGCAATGATTGCAACTTGCGTACCATTTTTCGGTTTTTTCGTCTTTCCTTTTTGTAAAATTGTTTTCAATAATAGAAGATTTAGATTTCTTACCAATTTTGGTTGTAGTCGTTGAAGGGCCCTCGTCCTCTTCCTCATCATCCGGAGTCCCGTCGCCCCCCGTGTCCTCCTCCCCATCGTCATCCTCGAGCTCCTCTTCATCGATGGTTGTCGTGAATTGTTGTTCTTGTGCAAAACGTGGATCATTTTGGGACAATAGGTGTTGAAGTTCCTCGTCGGACATCATCATACCATCTCGCCGTTGGTAATCCGTTTCAAAATCATCTCGACTTTGAAAAGAAGACTCGGCCCGCGCTTTACCTTTGCCTTTGCGTGAAGTAGATCGAGTCGATGCAATCTCCCTCTTGCGGTTGCGTTGGAGATTACCCACATCTACAGAATGTCTACCTCGCTCCATATTTAAAATTGAACAAATATTAGCACTTAACTAATATGAGAAATGTAAAAATTAACTAGTTTTGTTATTTTAATGAGATATGTAGCAATTAACTAATATGAGAAATGTAAAAATTAACTAGTTTTTTTTTACTTTAATGAGATATGTAGCAATTAACTAATATGAGAAATGTAAAATTGTAGCAATTAACTAATTAACTAATATGAGAAATGTAAAAATGTAGCAATTAACTAATTAACTAATATGAGAAATGCACAAATGTAGCAATTAACTAATATGAGAAATGTAAAAATATAGCAATTAACTAATTAACTAATATGAGAAATGTAAAAATGTAGCAATTAACTAATTAACTAATATGAGAAATGTAAAAATGTAGCAATTAACTAATTAACTAATATGAGAAATGTACAAATGTAGCAATTAACTAATATGAGAAATGTAAAAATATAGCAATTAACTAATTAACTAATATGAGAAATGTAAAAATGTAGCAATTAACTAATTAACTAATATGAGAAATGTAAAAATGTAGCAATTAACTAATTAACTAATATGAGAAATGTACAAATGTAGCAATTAACTAATATGAGAAATGTAAAAATGTAGCAATTAACTAATATGAGAAATGTAACAATTAAGTAGTTTAACTAATATTAATATGACAAATGAAACAATTAACTTTAACTACTTTAACTAATATTAATATGACAAATGAAACAATTAAGTAATTAAATAGATAAACGAGAAGTGTATATATAAATCAAATGTATAACTATATATAGTATATATAAATATATAATGTGTAAATATATTATAAGTAATATATAATATAATGTATACTATATTCTAAGTAATATATAATATAATGTATAACTATATATAGTATATATAAATATATAATGTGTAAATATATTATAAGTAATATATAATATATATGTATAACAATATATAGTATATAATATAATGCGTAAAGAATTATAATATGAATGTGTATAAGTATATATTTATAAGTAGATAATTAATATTATAATATATAAGTAGATATAATAATTATATAAATTATATATATGTAGAAAGAATTCGGAGAAGATGAAGAATGAAGATGATTGAATATGAGAGATTAAGAGAATAGAGAATTTAGATTTTAGAGAGTAGAAAGAGTTGTAGGTGTAAAAAATGTATAGAAAATAGGAGTATAAATAGGTTTTTTTTTGTATACCCCACCCCCACCCCCACCCCACCCCCCCTAACCCCCCAGACCCCCCCCTCCTATGCTCCCAACGGCTATAGAGCCGTTTGGGAGGTCTCCCAACGGCTAGTAGAGCCTTCAAATTTTTTTAAATTTTTTTTTTTTTGTGACCGTTGAGGCCCGGACCGGGCCCGGCCCGGCCGGGCCGGTTCACCAAATTATAAGCCCGGGCCCGAACCGCTACATGACCGGGCCGGGTGGCCCGAACCGTGACCTAACCAACAAACCGGGCCGGGCCGGGCCCGCACAGTAGCGGGCCGGTCCGGTTCCGGGCCGGTTGGCCCGGCCCGAGTCCACCACTAATCACAGGGGGATTTGGTGTATTAAACCTTCAATTTATTTTGCTTCTGTTTTTGGTTTCTCAAACCCAACCTTAGGTACAATGCAATGATCACATTTGTACATTGGTGTTAAAAATTCGGTTACCAATTTCCAAATTTAGAAAAAAAGAAGGGGATGAAGGCAAGTTCAGGTTTACTGCCTGATCCATTATTCTACAACCACATCATACCTATCCAACGATAAAAGATAACATTTGAAGGTAAAGAATCGACATTACAGAAGGCGGCATTAAACCCACAGACATGGTTTTAGAAGTTCTTAAAAAACTCATCACGTACTTCAGCAAATTAGGAATGTAGATGAAGCAAAAGGCTGTCTACTTTGATTGAAAACCCTTAAGGCTCACATGCTTAGGAAACAGGAACTCCAAGTGCTAAAACCACACCATTCATTGTATATTTAACCAAAATTTGAATAACAAACAGAACATAATTTAATGAACAGATGGGGGTGTAAAATCAAAATCTCTCAACGCTTCTTGGAGACACCAACAGTCTTTCCCCTGCGTCCGGTAGTCTTAGTGTGCTGTCCACGTACACGAAGACCCCAGTAGTGTCGCAGGCCACGATGGTTCCTATTATTTAATTTTACATGAACAGCAAGTCAGATACTGTAGGAAGACCTTACCAGCTAAGATAGTGAAAGCAAAATGGTAGTAGAGATGTACTAAAGAAAAGAGTTGTACATGATCTATATGTTCAGACTAACAATAGTACTTCACTAATAATGCTAATAATGGATTGAACAAAATCTATATCAGGTCTGTTTAACCCATTGAATCTCAGTTAGAAATCTCAATTTTTTTAAATATACTGTAGTACAGAAAAAATGACAAGGTATTGGAGTGTAAAAAAGTGAGAGAAACTGTTAGCACAGGGGTTGCATAGGGGTTAAATGGACCATAAAAGTTGTTCTCACTTCTCAATCTATCTTTTAACATCTCAATTTCATTACTCTTCAATTTCACAACATTGAGAAAACAAGTTCAATGTGCAGAATCTCACATTGGAAGCCACAGTTTCAAAGTTCCTTAAACAACGTAATAGAACTACTATAGTAAATAATCGGCGTAAGAAATCATTACCTGATTTTCTTCAATCTCTCAAGATCATCCCTGAGTTTCATATCCAAAGCATTGGATACAACCTGTGAATAGTTACCATCCTTGTAATCCTTCTGCCTGTTAAGGAACCAGTCTGGGATCTTGAACTGACGGGGGTTCGCAACAACCGTCATCAGATTTTCAATCTCAGCAGAAGACAGCTCTCCAGCCCTGTAGTCAGCCATATGTATGAATAATACATTCAGGCAACACTCAGAAACTTGATTCGCTAAACCATGTAATTAACCTTAAATAATAGACACCAATAAGTCTATCTATTTACAGTACAGAACAACCGACTTAGGCCCATCTAACTAAATCAAGATGCTAAAGACCATTAAAATGTGAACTTTTGTGGTTGAATACAAGAACAAGGATACCGTGAGTTTATGCAGCAAAGTGATTCAACACGGACTCACGGAGAATCACAAAAAAAATTACTAAAAAGAGATAAATGCGTTAAGCTAACCGAAATCCATGAAAGTTTTAAAATGAATTTGACTCACGGACTCAAATGAATTTTAAGTGAAATGGGGTACAAAATCAAAGTTTTTTTTAAAATGGGGTGCAAAGTCCAATGAAAGTCAAATTCCCCAAAAAAATTCTACTAGTATATTTTTCCGATTTGAAAATCAAACTAATACGTTTTTGATGGACAATGTAACTTCCTAGCGGGTATTTAAACATGAAAGGAATGATGATTGGAAAAACATCGTCAAAACAAAGGTTCAAAATGCTGAATGATGTAAGAAAGATGGACCTTTTGTTCATGTCGATGTCGGCTTTCTTGCAGCAGATGTTAGCAAATCGGCGGCCGATACCTTTGATGGAAGTGAGAGCGAACATAATCTTCTGCTTTCCATCAACGTTGGTGTTGAGGATACGCAAAATGTGCTGGAAATCTTCATTCGCTACCAGACTCTGCAAAATTACAAAGAAACATCAATGGAATCTGGTGAGAGAGTTCTACTAGACACGGTTGAAATTGCCGTCTAACTAACCATAGCTGCGGCGTTGCTTTAACCAACTCTCCTGTCCGTCTCTCTCTGGAAGGGCGGCTGGGACTACTAAGTTTGTAATGGGTTGGGAAAGAAGATGGTTTTTATAAAAAGTCTAAAGTACCCTATTTTGAAAAAGTCTAAATACCCTCATTCTTTGAAGGAGTATAAAAACTCTTTTGCGGTTAACATATGACGGCCTAATACTGTGTAATAGGTTTGGGCGTAAAATCCGAACTGAACCGGTACCAAACCGTCTCGTAATGGTACCGAACCAAATATCGGATATTTAAACGGTTCTATAGATTTTTATCCCGTACCGAAACCGTACCATTTGAAACGGGTACGGGACCGGTCCTAGATTTTGAGAACCGAAAAATACCGGATCGAACTGTTCGTAAATAATGCATTTGAATTTTTTTTATATTTTTTCTATATCAATAGATCTAGACCAACAATTTTATACCTCAAATATGTATTCATGTGTCCCTAAGATATCTAAAATGTGTTTTTTTTTAATCCCGGAAGGCAAACCACCAAAATCAGGTAAATGCCGGAGAACGTTTACCGTGTTTTATTAGAAAATAGAGAGATACAAAAAAGAAAGGGGGGCTAGGCCAATACCTTTCCGGGGAAGACATCCTTCCCAAAATTACACGAGAGACAAAATAAACTCAAAAACTGATGGGGGGGCTAGACCTGACCCATCAGAAGAAATAAACTCTAAACAAGCCATCTAATATAAGGAATATTTAACAAGTCAAAATTAAATTCAATTCGGACTGGACTAGGCAACAAGTTAACAGAAGTCCAAGACATGAAATGGGTCAGATGCAAAGCTGCTAGATAGTGAGCTGGTCTATTACCTTCCATGAAAATATGTCTGAATCTGACCCCTTTCCTGAAGCACAACTGCCTGAACGAAATAATATCCTCAGACCTAGCAACGTTGAATCCATCTGAAAGGAAGCTAAGAGCAGCTTCAGCATCAATCTCAACCTGAAAATCACGATAGCCTTCACTAATCACCCATCGCGTAGCTGTCATCGCAGCAATTAGCTCCGCATAGAAAGACGAAGAAGCAGAAATCGGAAAAGCAATGGCGCATACCAACTCTCCTCTTTGATTCCTCAAAATCGCTCCACCTGAGGCCGAATCTGGTATGTAAGCTGCATCAATAACTAACTTCAATCCTCTATTAGGTTTCAACCAACTAATGGGTTTTAAGAGTCTCTGATTAAGCTTAAAACCAAGGGGAATTAGTTGTTCTTCGTATAAAATGGTATCAATCTTGCCCAATTTCTGATTCGAAAGACTTAAAACCCAGTGCTGAGTATAGAGTTTAATTTGCCAGATAGTGTAAGCAGAATTAGGCGTCCTTGATCCAGAGCCCCAAATTTGGTCAGTATAAACCTTCCAAATGTTCCAACAGATAATTCCAGGAAGGTTGTGCTTGAACAAGTCAATTAGCGTTTGACTACGAGCCTCAAACCACCAAATCAGAAAGATGCTACGAATATAAGAGCATTGAAAAGGCATAGAAATGGACATAATCTGAGCAAAATATGACCAAATAGCCTTAGAGAAGTCACATTCCAGGAAAATGTGAATAGTAGAATCATCATTATTCCTACAAAGAGGACAAATAGAAGGCTGTATGATCTTCCTAACGAACCAACTTGTCAGTAATAGGTAAAACCCCTTTGAATAGCCTCCATTGAAAAATTTTGATTTTAGATTGTTGTTGTGGATGCCACAACTGTTTAAAGGCATAAGAGGAACCCAAAGAATGCCTAATGGCAGATTTAAGAGTAAACTGACCATCTTTTGTATCTTTCCAGATGAACTGATTGTCTGAGGAGTCAATTAATGAAGCAGCCGGATCATTAACCAAACAGAGTCTTCTCCAAATGGGTGAGTCATCAATTTTAATCCTGATATCACTCTCCCTAGGATATCTAGCTTTCATGAACTCAGACCAAAAACAGGAAGAAGTCTTCCATTTCCACCAAAGTTTAAGGGAAAAAGCTCTTTCAACATCTTTAAGTGATCTAATATCCAAACCCCTTTCTTCTTTGGGATAGCAAAGTTTCTTCCAACTAACCCAATGATATTTGGGTCTATTATTAGAAGTACCCCAAAAGAAATTAGCCATTTTCTTCTCAAGAATGTTTATAATCTTATTAGGCAGAAGATCTACTGCCAAAAGATGCATGGGAATGGACCCCAGAACATGTTTAATCAAGATGAGTCTTCCTCCCATAGATATATTTTTTTGCTTCCATGAAGAAAGTCTGGAATCAAACTGATGAATTATCTTCTGACAACACTGTTGCCTGTTAATCCCCTTATGCAGATTGACTCCCAGGTATTTCATGGGAAGAGATGAATTTTGCATTCCTAGTAAATCATGAATGGCATGTACTCTGTATGCAGCATGTTTACCACATATAAAGGAGCTTTTGTCAAAATTCACGGCCTACCCAGAGGAATCTTGGTATAAGGTAAGGAATCTGTGAAAGTTTATTAACGATCTGGAGTCACCATTAATAAAAATGAGTAGGTCATCAGCATAACCTAGATGTGAAACAGGATTCCCTTTTCTACCAAGCCAGAAAGGCTTAATTAAGCCTCTAGAAATATATGAATATCTAAAATGTGTTTATATATATATATATATATATTGTTATTTTTTCTTTTTAGATAATTTATGTTATATTTTGGTATGTATTGAAAGAATATTAAAATTTTAGAAATCATTAAAATTCTAGTAATGTAGTGTACATGACTTTTTGTTGTATCATGTTTGTGCATTTTCTACAACTTAATTAACATGGTTTAAATCTTAGCTCTCAAGGTTCAACTATAAATTAAATTAGAAATACGGAGTAATATTTAACCTAGAACGAAGAAGAAGAATGTTGAAGATTTCTACTCGTATTACATTCAACAATTTGATGATATTCATTTTTATATTTTCACATGAACTTAGTAAATTAAAAATGATATTTATCTCGTGCGTCATCGTTTTGCTATACTTTTTCTTAGTTGGGTTGCACTATTTGGGTATTTGTGAATTTTTAGTACTATGTATGCAATTTCTTGTATTTATTTCAACATTTCATGTGAGTTGGTTGGTGTGATGATATCTACTAATTGCAAGATTTGTTCAAAAAATTTAGCATGTGTTTGACATTGTACCATACCGTTTTGTACCGTTCCGAAACGACATGATACAGAACGGTTAAAAACCTCACGTATACTTTTACAAATTTACCTGGCCTTTCCGGACCGCACAACCCCTGCTGTGTAATCCTTCTCCCAATTTGCTTCTCTCCCTCATTCCCTGCCTGGACGGTTAGCCTACATAGCCCTTCCTCTTCCTCAATTGTACGTTTCTTTCAGCAGACACCAATCAGCACAGTCAACTCTTCCTCAATCGTACGTTTCCTTATGCAGACACAAATTCAACGCAAACAAGCGGCGAATGCAGCGCAAAATATCGGCAAATCCTATATTTCGATAATTTAGGTACGATGTTTCATTTTCTACTTTCTATATTCTATTGTTGATTCTGTTTCTCTACTAATCTAATTGCCCCCGTTTCCATTTTTCCCTTCATCCATCCTCATCAATTTCAGATTTCAGTGACAGTCTCCATGTAAAAAAATCAACACAAACACAATTCAATATTATTATTTAGGTAAGACATTTCATCGTCTACATTCTACACTCTATGCTAAGGTTGAAATGCATCCGAGTTGAATTCAATTATCTCTAGAACCGCTTATTCTCACCTAAATTGTTCCCTTAATAAAAATGTCAACTTGATTGTTCTTACTGTGATTATTCATGTTTTATAAATGTTGTGGGTGCTGGTGGCTGATAGAAATTTAAAATGTTGCACCTTTGTTTTAAAGAATTGATAAAATTAGGGTTGCTCGAATGATGTGTATAAATTAGAAGTGCTAATGTATGGCTAATGATCTCAAGAAAAATGCCCAGTTGTTTATTCTCACAGAGGTTATTTATGCTTTCTGAATGTTTAGAATCTCGGTGGGTGATGATAAATTTGCATTCTAGGGAAGCAAAGTGTTCCATTGATTACAACTTAATGTTACTTTTAAACTGTTCTTATGTTTACAAACAGATGAAAGATCATTTGAAGATAAAAATACACCTTGAATAATATATAGAAGAGTGAAAAATATACTTACAAGAGTGAACAAATAAGACTATCCCACTTTCCAAATGTGATAGATTACTCATGTACAGACTAAAGAGTTATTATCAACACAAGGCAGAATCCTTTGTTTCATGATATACAAACAGCTCTGTTTCGTGACATCTAAGTTTCTCAGGGAGCTTTATTTAGTTCAAATTAAGCTAGATTCTCTTGGCACTTTTATATTGTAATACGGGGTTGTCTTTTACTTGGGTGGTTGCGACTGATTTGGTACTCATACCTAATTGGTAGCAACACATTTGTTAGGAAAAATATATGGTCTGGAATGTCTATATATAGACTGACTCCTACACAAGAATGTCTATGTCATGTTAATCTTGACTATGATCATATATTATATTAACCACATAAGGTTAGCTCTGGAATCACCTATATAGAATTATAGCTTACTACATAGAAATTATCACAATCAAATTTTTACAAACTATATTTTGAGGTATAAGGGAGATGAGTGTATTATTTGTTGCCTTATGTTTCAAGAAATTTTGAAGTCAAGCCTTGCAGCACAGAAGTTGTACTCCCTTGCAGGGGAGTGGGCGTCTACAATTGGCCTCACTTTATCTCATCGTGTGGGTATGATATTGTTCACTAATGCTTTTGATTGACTAGGTGCACTTCTGTTTAGTATACTACAAGTTGCGTCATAGGATTGCATAAATTTTCTTTTCTTCTTTATGCCAGTTACATTTGGCATAAAGAAATGCAGATATGTTTGTGCAAACGTTGTGTTATTTTTACATCTTTTTTTATTGGACTATTTGTTTGTATCTATCTTTTTTAAGAAGAGGAAATTTTATGAAAAAAAGTAAATGCTACATCGAAAAGCAAAACAAGGAAATGAGACGAAAGATGCAATGAAGAAAAAAACATAAAAAGCATAATAATTAAGAAAAAAGCCCTTGGAGCCGATCCAATCATACGTTTCTGGCATACTTTTCATCGAAAAGCCATCTGGTATACTTTATTACACAAAACTTTTGATGGTTTAGATTCAATTGCTTATCGAATACTCCCTTCGTTTCGAAAAGATTCGCCAAATTGATTTTTCTTGGTCAATGACAATCAAATTTGACAATGATATTTTTCAAGACAAAATTATTTATAATATGAAAGTTATATCAAAATGTTCCTTATTCAAAATATTTTCATAAACTGATAAAAGTATAAAATTTATACATTATACACAAATATAATAATTGAAATCATTGTCCAAAGTTTGCCATCATTGACTAAGAAAAGTCAATATGGCGAACCTTTTCGGGACGGAGGTAGTATAATATTTTTTGACAAAAAAGCTGATGGATGGAAAGTATGGAATACCATAATGTCATCATTTAGTGTTAAGCTGCACAGTTTTGGTTGCAGACTTTGGTGCTGAAAAGTGTCGAGAGGAGGGAGAAGGGTATTTTTTCAGCAACTTTGGTGATATCTTTGATAAATTAGAGATAATTTCGTGACTTCTAAGTTTCTCAGGGAGCTTTTTTCAGCTTATTATGAGAGTTCATATTAAGCTGGATTCTCTTGGCACTTTTATATTGTAATATGGGGTTGTCTTTTACTTGGGTGGCTGCAACTGATTTGGTAGTAATACTTAACTGGTAGCATTTGTTAGGAAAAATATATGGTTTGTGCAAGAGTAAGATGTAACCTGAGAGTGAGTGTTTTGGTAAAGTTTTGACAATTTAGAGCAATTTTTTAAGTTGATTTTCTACCTACGTTAATCAAATTTCAGCTGGATTTCTTACATTTGTGTAGTTGCTGCAGATCTGTTGCATTTTCTTGCTGCACATATACTTGAGTGTAGGTTTTTGACAACTTTTCTATTGCATATAAGCAACAAAAGTAAGAGTGTTGTTGTTCATTCAAGTCTTCAACTCTTGAAGAGGCCTTAGCTTAAAATTTCATTTAGTTTCTATCTTCACTAGAACTTTTTCTTTCTCATTATAGTGTATTTCTTCAATTCTTCCTCTACTTAATGAAAAGTTCTATTTCTAAATACACGCACACTTCCTTAGTACACAGTTAAATCAACTTTATTTTATTTACATTTCATTGTTATAAATTTTAAATTATTTTTGGATATTATTGTTAATCAAATATTGATCGCCTCTTTCATTATTTATTGCAAGCAATCATGGTTCCCACAGAACAGAGAAACTCCAACGTGCACATTTACCCGGTCTTATATTTTACTTTCCTAATTTCTCTATATCAAAGGTGTCATTGATATAATAGTCGGAGGACTAAAAGTGCTAATAACTCATTCTGTATTTATACCCTTAACCTTAATAAATCGAAATAGTCCTATTCAAAACATCCTACGAATTAGAATACTAATTGTATTATAAATACTTCGATAAGAAATCCTAAATAACATAACACAGATTAACTGCATATTGAGATTAATGAGTATCCTAATTTAGTTCACACTATTATTAAATTTTAATTAGAGTATACACTATATTCATCTTTCATCAAAACTAGATAACAGTCAACGACAGTTGTTGAAAATCGCTAGTGTTTTCATGTCCTCCTCACTTTTTATGCGTGGATAGTTGTCTGTTGCAGTTTTCTTAATGACAAGTCTGTCTCGCTTAAAGCTCGTGATATGCGACGATTGACATCATGACATGAAAAGAAACTGAAAAAATGCTGTCTATAAGGATGTCTTCGACTAGTTTGCAATGTCTGCGTATTGTTTAAAATATGTTATTATTTATTTAACTTTCTCTCATTTTGATAAATAATAACATTATTTATAATTTCATTTTAATGTTAACACTTAAAATAACAACATATTACATCCCGTGCAACGCACGGGTGAGATACTAGTACTTTTAAAACGTTCGGTCAGAAGGTTGGATGAAGCGAAAAGAAACGGATTGAGGTTAGCCAGCTTCTTCTTCTTCTTGAATTGATCATTACTTTGTCCAATTTTATGTAGTAAAAAACAACAAAGTTCATCGAATTACGGAGTAGTATTAGATATTGGGTTCTTAAATTCTTTCTATAATAACTGAATTTGAAGCAAAAAAACACTTCTTCAATCTGTCCATTCCTAATTGATAATTTATTGGAGAATTTGGAGCTTGAATGCTCTTTCTTTTATTCTTCTATGATTTTGTTTTCTCTATCTAATATTTAGTATTTTAATCAATGTTTATCAAGGAAGGTGGGAGTGGGGATTGTGCTAAACAATTCCTCACTCAGGTTTATCATCACTATTATGGGGTACATAATTACATAATTTGATTAAATTAGTAGGGTTTAAACATCACCACGCTCTCAAATTATTGTGATATATCCTAAGTAAATAGAGAATATGATTATACAAGTTGCATATACAGATATAAATATATAATACATAGTACTAAGTCTGCTAAAACGAATGAGGGTGCGATTGATTGTCAGGTAAGAGTTATTTGACCGTCAATTTGACCTCTATTCCATCCAAAGTTTTCAATAGTTTCTTGTTCCGCTCACTTTACCACCAAACGGAGCCTAAGAGTGCTCTTAAAAAAATTGCTCCAGTGAAAAATTTTATGTGTTGGTGACTTGGTGTATAGGTACATCATGCCCTTGATTTGCGGGATAGCATAAGCCGAGGTCCCTCGAGGGATGGCTTTCTTCATACCTGTTAAGATGAAGATGTGCCCCGTCAATGTTTTCAGCTCTGTTGATAGGTGTAAAGTTGTCACTGACTGTAAGTAAATACTCTTCTCTTAGCTCCAATATTCTTCTTAGCAGCAGCAAAATAGCTAAAAGTTGAAAGCTAAAATTTATATTACAAGTGTGTAAATTTGTTGTTAAGTAGCTGATTTATGTAAAGAAGACGTGATAAGGCATTGCTGGTATGGATAATATGGTATGGATAATAGATGAACAAAGATAGTTAAATTTGTAAAAAGAATAAGTTAATTTAGTGGAAACCAATAAAAATTAAGAGCTTTCAATAGGAGACAGCTTTTCATATATTAGCTTACTTTAAGCTTTTATTCTATTTATTACAAAACAGGTTAAATAGTTACTAAGAAATTGGCCTAAATAGGAGGAAAAGGGGTATTTTCCTATATAGGAGATTAGGAGTACTATATTTTTCTCTATTTTTTTTTTGTACATCGGGAAAGAAAGAGAACAATGCAAACAAAAAGGAAAAAACAAACAAACAAAGCTAGTATGGTCTAACAAATTCTAGACCATTGCCATCCTCCAAAGTATGTGTTCAATTCCCTCAGGAGGGGTATTAAGGACTGTAAGCACACTGCCATAGTGTCATATTGAGATCATAATAATGCCGCCTTAAGTTTTAAGCTCCAAAATAACCTCTATTAAAAATAACTTATACTAATAATGAAGAGACTTATACGAAGTATATGGTTAAACCCCATGCTTTTATAATAATATCTAAAATTAGAAACTCAGGATAATAAAAATGTCACATCTCTTGCAAACATGTCCCCTTTCCCCACTTTCCCCGTATAATATCCCTCGCCCCGCCCTCTCCAAAGTCATACTCTCATCCAACCAAAGAATTATAATGAATATTCTCTCATGATTCATGAATGTTAGATAATGCATATGATTAACCAGACCCTTTTTCAAAAGCTTTAAATTATTCCTTTTGTACCTTATAATTCTGTTTATTATCTTATTTTCATTTTACATTTTTTAAAAATAACTTCAAAAATGCAATTTTTTCATGTTGCTACAGATAAACTGAAATCAAGCTGTCGTGATGTGCTGGTCGAGGAAGAAAAATCTCGTCGCCGGTTTCTTCTAGGATGTAGCATGATCCCTTTTGTCTCATTTAATGGAAGATTTGGTTTGTTACCAGCTTGGGCCGGAGATCAATCAAAAGCAGCCCAAGATGATGAGGGTGTTATTGGGGCCTTAAAGTCCTTGTTTGACCCTAATGAGAAAACCAAATCAGGGAAAGTCTTACCCAAGGACTACTTGAAATCAGTGAGAGAAGTGATTAAGACATTGCGGGAATCACTCAAGGAGGATCCCAATGACATAACCAAGTTTAGAAGAACAGCCGATGCTGCGAAGGAGTCAATTCGTGCGTACTTGGGTGGGTGGAGAGGAGAGAAAACGGTGGTTAATGAGGTAACATTTTAGATCTTCCTTCCATTTTTATGAGTAACTTCTTATAATCCAACTGTAGACGTTTAAAGGTATGTGTACTTTTGGGTCAATTTCAAATCAACATGCTTGATCCTTTTGCAATATAATATGTTGAAACTGCAGGAATCATATGAAATGCTAGAGAAAGTAATAAGAGCATTAGCCAACTTTTACTCAGAGGCAGGCCCATCAACACCACTTCCTGAGCATGTTAAAGTTGAGATTCTTAATGATCTCATCAAAGCAGAGGATGATTTGTAAAAAGAAACAGCAGAGAATCTGTAAATGCAATGCCACACAAGCAATCCTCTGGAAGACGCACTTTTTTTCTCACTCCATTGTTGTATACACGATAGAAAAACAAGTTTAAGGAATGTCGTGACAAGCACCATCTTAACTCGTGAGGTGTATGACCATCTATGGGCCAATTTGAGATTGATCTTATTATATGTTGAGTTGTGAGGTGGTGATAAAGATACCCTTGAATGCCCATGGATATATTTGTTCCACATTTACAAGTTTTGTTTTAACTGTTCTAAAAAATTGGTGTGTGGATGTTGTAGACTTGTAGGCAGTATAATTCAATGTATATTGGTATATACTCCCTCCGTTTATGAAACAAGTTCCACATTTGACTTCACATATTAAGAAAATAAATTTGACTTTACTGTGAAGTGCACTGTTTGAACACTGTTTGGCACTGTTTGAACACTGTTTGACATTGTTTGACGTAGATAATTTGCCAAATAAGGAAATGTTTGAAAGTGGAACTTAATTTTGAATCTGCCCGAAAAGAAAAGGTGGAAGTGTGGAACTTGTTTCAGAAACGGAGGGAGTACATTTTTATCACATCTCTTTATGCTATAATTTATTGTGACCACAACTATGTTTGGTAATGAAGTTGTCAAATTTTAACCAAACGAATAAATGGCGCATAAGTTTAGATGCCCTGAATTGGAAGCATTGCTAGCCTGCTAGGTACTGGAAATTTGGCAAGGAGCTTGTGGAGTTGTGTCACTGTGTGTATCATAAAAAACATGGTGAAACCAATTTTAGCAAATAAGTTAAATACAATTTCTTGGCTTGAGAATATTTTTTGGTGTTTATTTGTTATGAAATAACTGTTGGTTCATGTCATTTTGACGCGATTATTACCACGGGTCATCCAAAAACACTCTTTGTGCTTTAGCATAAGGGTAAGAGTAAATGCATCTGATCTCCCTTATCTCAAGTTTGGTGAATGATGATGATGATGTCAAATACATATTTTGTTGAAATACGGAAAAATCACCTATTAGTTACCAAACTGAGCCTCAACAGCAAATACAACACCAAACTAGCAAGTAGGTCTTAGCAAACTCTCAACTAAAAGGGCAATGGAAGGTTGTTAAAGGGGCATAAATTACTTTATTGAGAAAGACTAATAATTACTTATGATACAATGATTATCCTCTTGGCAAATTACATCACAAGGCTCTAATGTTCTAAAAAACTACAGTGCCATCTATCTGTTGTTGAAAAGGATGGCATACAGCAACACCATCATATTCTTCATATAACAGTGGTAGTCCTTTGATAAATACTGCAAAACACAAGATTTGGTTCCTCCCAATTAGAACAAAAATCGCATAATAAACTAGTACTACGTAAGCAACAATTTTGACTAAAAAATGTAGTAAAATTAACCTGAGGTAGTCTAGGGCATCCACATTCCATCAAATTTAAACACTTTAAGCACGTGAAAGAACCCCCTTTGAGCTGCATAGTGAAAAACAACTAATGATTGTATCAATAATAATAACCATAAAATAACCAGAGAGGCATGCATTATTATGTAAAAAACTTCTAATTGGAAGCACTTTTACCAAAGGGAACTATACTAATCATCAGCTACAGTCCAGAAGGAAGTCCAATTAGACGCAAAACCATAACTACCTGAAAGCGCATTTAGGATGACTCACTAAATGAGCCCTTTCAGAAGATGAAAAGTACGTTTACTTAAAAAAGAAATGTAATTTGGCAGGAAAGTAGGAAAATATAGTTCCACGGCAAAACATCACTTTTGCAACGCAGATATTCTGGAGTCCGGACCACTTGGTATTTTCACTGCAATAAAATCTTAATTTTAAAAACAGTAATCTCAATAGACTTTAAAACTTAAAAGTTAAAAATATTATTATATACTCCCTCAATCCCAATTTGTGAGATACATTTACTATTCACTTGATCAACATAAATCACTCTTAATCTTTTACTTTATATGTCAAAAGTTTATAAAATTTGAATTATTTTTTGCAGGCTTTGTAACGGTTTTAATGTAGTTTCTGAATATGTAAATTTTATTTTCTAAAACTAATTTGACTGTCAACAGGAATCAATTTGCTTTATCGTCGTTTAAACATCATAAACCGTAAAGTGTCTTAAAAATTAGGATGGAGGGAGTATTAGGGAAAAGAGAATGAGAGGAACCTCGGTACACTTCCATGACGACGCAAGTCATACTCAGTTGCTTGTCTAAGGGCTCTTGCAAAAGCCTTAAAGGTGGCTTCAATAATGTGATGAGAATTTTTTCCAGCTAGCTGCTTCCAATTAAATGTAACTTATTAATCACTATAAATCGAAACAAAATTCAAAATGCAACAGAACCTAAGAGGATCACAAGCAAATGCATTCAACTACCTGTCGTATATGAAGTGTCACTCCAGAAGTGTTGACCACGGACTGGAAGAAGTGTTCTACCAGCTAGAAAATCCTATATTCAAGTTAGTAACCCATTATGTATCAATTTATTAGGGTCCTATTTGAACCCAGTAGCTGCCCAGTAAAGATAACAGAAAGAATAATAGAGGGAGAATCTGGAGGGGGGGGGAGGGGGCTCAATAATTCAATAGATATATATTACATTTCATTTTTGGAAAATATATGTACTACATTAAGATAAAAAAGAAAGTACAAGTAAAGTATGTAATATTGAATTCTAATAAATTTGATTCTTCTTTTATATTTACAAGGTGAAACCAAACATAAAAACTATTTTTAATGGCCAGAACAACCTGAGTATCATATGTTCCCACTCTCTGGGTAGGTATTTGTAAATCATAACTTAAATGTGGTCGTCCAGATAAATCCTGCATTGAAATTTAACAATAAATATGACAGAACACATAAAAATTTACTTCAGTACTCCATGTTATTCTTCAAATTAAAATGATATAGGATTTCTGATTCCTATCGATGTTTTACAACCATTATATATTTGGATGTACCAATGCGACATGTATCAATGATTCATCCAGAGGAGCTGAGAAGTCACCAAACCGGTTGATTCCTTTTCTATCTCCAAGTGCTTCCAACAAAGCCTGAATTTTAACAAATAGAAGCATATAAAGTTAGGCTTTATAATGAATTATGAAATATGTGAATAGACCAAATGCGTGTAGATAATATTACTGTTCCAATAGCCAACCCAATGTCTTCATTTGTGTGATGATCATCTATGTGAATGTCCCCCTTGGCCTTCACATGCATGTCCAACAACCCATGTGATGCAAGTTGCTATAAACAACAAGAATTCACACCACAAATAAAATCGCAGTACATTTGAAATACAAAAATGAAATAGTGCAGTGATGAGCATTCTTGATGATATAAACCAGTAGACCCAACTGAGGTTGAAAATACCGGGGCCTGTTTCCTGATAGAGATATTTTCCAGTTTTCCAGAAAACTGGAAAACTAGAAAACATGACACGTGTTTACCAAAGAAAATTGCTGGAAAACTGGAGAAAGGAAAACAGAAAAACGCGTTTACCAAACCCTTTTTCAAAACGAAAAAATGAGACATGTCTCTCTTTTCCTTAATGATTTGGAGAAGTGACTTTTACTAGTTTTCCAAATTTGGAAAACGCAGATGCTTCAGGCCGCTGCAATGAATTTGCATACTTACATATAGTGGTGTGTCCGGTCCCGCTCCGATGCCGATTCCATTTTAGTACCTCCATCCTCATACCTTACCCCTTACCCCTTACCCCTACCCTACCCACCCAACCCCCACTCCGCATATCCTTTTTCCCTACAATGACCCTACCCCTACCCCCTACCACATGCCCTTACCTCGGTCCCACCCCGATCCACCCTACCCTACAGCCACCCCCTACCACCTCAACCCCACCCCGACCCACCCTAACCCTACCCCCACCTCGTATATTACCCATTAACCCCTACCTTACCCCTTCCCAAATGCCCCCTACCTCGGCCCCACCCTACCGCCATCCTACCCCCACAACCCTACCCCCCACCATCCTACCCCCACCCTGATCTCGGCCCGCCATCCTATCCCAACTCCCTACTCTACCCCTACCTTACCCCAACCCCCAACCCTACTCACTACCCCCACCCTTACCCCTAACCACCACCCTACCCCACCCAACCCCGTACCGCTAGACCTTACCACCCCACCCCACCCCCACCCATATCTTCCTTCCCTACCCCGACCCCTACGAGTAGGTATGGGTGGGTATGAAGGGTTTTAGGGGAGTATGGGTAGAGTGTAAGATCATGGTAAGGGTAGGGGTAGGGGTCAAGTGTATGGAATTGGGTGTAGGGTGTAAGGTGGGGGTACGATGTATAGGGGCAAGGTAAGGGTTAGGAGTATGGGTACACGTACGAGGTAATCGACCCCACATATTATTTTATATATTTGTGTTCATGAATGTTTGTGTGTCTATATATGTATAGGGTTATTTTGGACATTTTAATGTTAAAAGGTGTTTTAAACCTTTTGAAGTAAACATGATCTTATAACATTGCTTATTTTATGCGCCGCTTATTAACGCGAGTCTTAATAAGCACCATTTAGTAACCCGTGAAGTAAACGTGTCGGTCTTCTAGATGATCACAGAACTGGGTGAAAAAATTGATGAACATGTTTTCAGATTTGAAAATGGAAAACTAGAAAATAGAAACAGAAAAATGGAGATAGAAAAACTGAAAAATATAAACAGAAAATTGGAGAACGAAAAACAGAAGTAGAAAACAGGAAAATATCTCTATTAGTAAACATGCCTTCAGTATTTCAATTTTCTAGAAATATCAATGAATATTCTTGATAATGATATTGGAATTGATTAGACCTGTACAAAAACGGGTTTGGGTCGGGCTCGGGCCGGGCTTTTTATAATTTTTTTGCCCATCATGTGTGGGCGGGCCCGGCCCTCAAAAATGGGCCTAACCCCATGTCCATGCCCGCCCATAAGATCGGGCCGGGAAGTCCACCGGGCCGCCCGACCAGGGAAAACTTTAATTTTTTCAAAATTATATGATTTTTTTAATACTTTAAAAATAATATTACAACATTTAAAAATTGTTAATACGCTTATAATGTTTATAGGTCTTTCACCACATACAAAAAAATACTTACACAAAAATAATAATGAGAGACTATATCTAAAATTTTAAATTTAAGCACAAAGTATTATCTTTAAGTACAAAAATAGATATTATATTGGTTGGGCTAGTTGTTACGAACTTAAAATTTAAATTTAAACATAATAAACTATAAATATGTATAAGGAAAAATTAGTAAATATAAATATACATGTGTATATGTAAATAAATAAATAAATAAATTAGAATATATATAAATACATATATTTATATATACTAAATGTAGCGGGCCGGGCTTATCGGCCCGAACGGGCCTACACCCTAACCCAGGCCCGCCCATATCTTATTGCGGGCCGGGCCGGTGGGTAAATATATATGACCAAGCCCGTCTATTTGTGCGGGCGGGCCGGGCGGGCCGGCCCGGTTTTGTACAGGTCTAGAATTGATCAAGGATGTTTTTAGTTGGACTGAAATTTGCTGATCTGATCTGGTTTGGGATTGAAAACAGTTCAAATAAAAACATCCTAAAAAGAATAACAAAAATGCCAATAAGTTTTATAAGAACAGGGACTTGAGATACCCCTGATACTTAAAAAACACGTGTACCAAAAAAGTCAAGGGACTTAAGACGCCCAGTTTTATTAGATGAAGATTGTGAAAAGGCACCCCTAATTTCAAAAGAACTACAAACTCTAGTTAACCGAAGCAAGTCATTTTGATAGTGTGCTACATATTGGTATTTCCCTTTTTCTTTGCACAATGAGCAATTCTCTTCTCAATGAGAGATGTCATTTCTAGGCACAAGTTCAAGCTTTGAGGATAAAGAACAATCAACCCAAAGACCATATAACTCTGTGTGCTTGTTACATTCTATTGAAATATGAAATAAACAAAAAAAACCAGACACACTACGAACCAATAAACAATCAAGCACAAGATTGAGAGCTTGAGAAAGATGCCCAGAAAAGTGAACTTCTTTTCAAATTAAATTTTAAATTTTTGAGCATGAAAATGAGCAAACCAACAGAAAGACTCACATCCAACATATGGTCAAGAAATGGAATTCCAGTGCAGTTTTCAGCCACACCCGTTCCGTCCAAGTTTATCTTCACAAACACGTTAGTCTCTTTCGTTACCCTATTCACCTCTCCGATTCGACCTAAGGAATCAGAAGTTTGGGCATAAGTTAGGCCAATCAGATATCGACATAGAAATCTGTAAAAGGAAGATGTTTTACCGGTCGTAAATATGGAAGATACTAAGGGTGAGACACTATCGAGTGAATGAAGAGGACTGTGAGAGTCCATTAGCGAAGCCGAGAGACTTCGGAGTCGTGCGGACCCCAGTTGTCGTCTATGCAATGGATTTGTTGGATCGATGATCGGAGTGTTCAGGAAAGTAAGCTTTTTAGGTAGGAGGCGAGAGGGGAGGAACGAATGTGGAAAGGGAGAGTATAGAATTCGGCAATGACAGACCGAATGCTCCATTGCTGCAACTGAAGCTACGCTTAGATGTGGGCACCTGATACACGAAGTTTGATTTTCTGGCCCTTTTGGTAAGCGGACCACCTCTTGCTAGGCGCACCTCTATTCTGGTAGGCACACCTCTTTTTCGGCCCCATTACCTGTTTCGGTTCAAGTTAAAAATTATTAGAATCGTTTTAAAAAATGTAATTTTTAAAATCGGTTCGATTCTAATAAAAAAATAAAACCATTTTAGAACTGAATATGGTTTAAACGGTTTGGTTCCGGACTTTTTTCGGTTCTTAAAAATAGTGTAATATTTCTCAAAATGAACACAATTTAATTTTTTTAATGAAAAAATCTTTCATCAATATCAAACTATCCAAAACTAGTACATCTAGGCAAAAATTATTCATATATACAAGATTTGACAAAAGGGTTCATCCAAGTGTGAAATGATCCGCTCACTATTATATAAAAGCTGTTTTAAGGTCTGAATTCTTCAATTTGCTAGAAGCTGATTAAAACAGAGCAAATTACATTCAACCTGTTGGCTCAAAAACTAGCTAGAAGCTGATTCATACTCTCTGTTCAACATAATTCAACTTATTAGCTCAAAAATTGAAAGCACATTACTAAAATTTCCCAAGAATTGCTCAAAAACTGAAAGCACATTATTGAACATTCAATTTGCTAGAAGGTGAATTATGCTCTCTGCTCACCATAAGAACTAGCCCACTTACCACATAAAAACATTAAATTTAAGATACATAAAAAACAAATAAAAAACATTCTCACCACTTACCACATTCTCACAAATATTAAGTGTTTGGATAAAAATGTCATGTTGTAACAATCAATTTATTGCTTTATTAAATATAGTGGTGGCCAAATATAGTATGCCAACAAAGTTAGCCTTTAGAGAGAATGTCCAATTCAAAAACCTGTAAACAAATAGGATAATCATCCCACTAGATTTAATCTATTCTGCAACGGAAAAAAGTAATGATGAAATACTCCAAAAGAAGAAATTGAAGTAAACCCTAAATAGAGTTCGAAGTGAAAAAATAACTCCAACTAGTTTCTTAGACACCATATTTCAAAGATTAAACCATATTACCATCTCCCATAGATAATTAATTTAATTTAACAACTCATAATAGGAAATAAGGAATAAGGGAAAACCTGGATGATTTGAATACCAAGAGATGGAGCACGATTTAGACTTTAGAGGTTCAATGCTAGAGCTAGAAGAGCTTGATTCTTGGAGAGAGTTTCGCTCAAAGATTCTCTGAGATAGGGTCGCTGAGTCGCTCGACTCCTGGAGAAGTTTGGTCGCTAGATTAGTCGATTCCTGGAGAAGAGTCAGAAGAGTTTACTATTAGGTTAAAAGTTAAACGTAAAAGTAATTTTCACATCCTTATTTATAGTGGGCCGATCCAGCTTATGTTAAATAAGGCCATCAGGGATATATGTACGTAGAGAGTAATAATACAGTTCCTATATAGGAACTTCGGTTCCTACATGTTAGTAATGGTTAGAACCGGAACCAAACCGTATTAATATTTTAGGAATAGAACCGAATACTTTACATGTCAAAAAAATTAGGAACCGAACTGAACCGGTAAATTCGGTTTGGTTTGGCTCGATTTTCTCGTTTTTCGGTTCTAAGTCCAAGACCTACTTTTTCCCTATTATTGGACATATTTGCCCCCCTTTGATTAGTTCATACAAACAACGGAGTACTTCATTCTGAATACTACCTGTATTTCAAATTTCTAACTAATACTCTACGGTTATCAATATTTGTTTATTCGGTTAGATTTTAAAAAATAAAAATAGGTTTTAATATTTACTTAAAGTTTGTGTATCATTGTTTCTAAGTTTAATTAAGCTACCATGGATTAACTTTTAATATTTTTTGAATTTTCTAAATCTAAACCACACATTATAATTTCAATTATTTTCATAATTTAACTTTAATGTTTTTCGAATTCGAATATTCAAATATGATTTCAATATTCAAATAAGAATCAAACATTCGAATAAGATTCGTATATACTAAACGAATCAAATTCGGCTATAAATAGATTTGAATATTAAACGAAAATGAATATCAATATTCGATAATTATACGAATATGAATAATATTGTCAGATATTCAATTTGATTTGATTTTTTTACAACTCTAAGAGAAAGGCCCCACCTTTTAAAACTTGATAAGCATCATGCCGATTCAACATTAAGGCCATATATGATATATCTATGAACACACATGTGAATGACGTTTATGATGTTTATGATGTTTTTAATTGAACTAATTTATATCCAGGTAGATTTAGAGCCCGTTGGGTAATGCCTAAATCGGCTGAATCGGCTAATTTTGATGAAATTTATGAAGTTGTGGTTAAAGTGGATGTATTTGGTTGATTCTGCAGATTAATGAAAAAATTATATTTAAAATTTATTTTATTAATATAATAAAGAAAAAATTATATAAAAATAGCTAAAATGATCTTATACAGTAACTTCAGCCGATACAACTAAAAAAGTAACTTCAATCGTACTTTTTCTTATTATTTCACTATTTAGTGCGCGAAATCAAAAATTACGTGTTTGATAAAAAGTTGAGTGTTAAGTCTAATAAGCCGAAAATAGGGTCACCAAACGGCATCTTAAATAGACCTAACTTGAATAATATGTATTAAAAAATTTATATATGTACTATTAATTCCATATAAAAGATCATAAAAATTATTTAATTTGATATTTTTTTAATAAAAGTTTGATCACAAAATAAGAAGTTATAACATTTTTTTAAATAATATTTGCCACACATCAACAAGTGATCGGATGGAGTGTCAATTTAAAGTTGATATGGCAAGCCGTGTGATCCTACCGGAACTAAACATTAATTTTAATTAATTTTAATCTAAATAATCTAAAAGGACAATTTAGTCCTAGTAGCATGGTCACATTAAGGACGATTTACAGAATACATGTAAAATTGATATGGTAGACCATGTCAACCTTTTTTGTTAAAAAAGGATGACACCCCATCCCTGAGGACCCCTAATCCCGACCGGACGGTATGTTGGGAGGATGATGTCAATCTTTTTTGTTGAATAGCCAGGTCGTGTCATACTAGGAGGTCAAAATTGTCAGGGTGGGGTTACATAAAGTAAAACCGGGGTGCGCAAACTAATAACCCAGGGTGCCCTTTGGTAAGAGCTGCAATCATTGTAACAGTTGAAAAGCCTCAATTTGGTGGAGTGAAAGTGATGAAGTATATGGCCCAGGGACCCTCGGCACACAAACTCATACTCCTCCTACGCAGGCTCATCAAGCCCGGTGAGCACACAAAGCCCAAACGTAGCGGCCCAAGCATGAAGAAGCCCACGGTGCACATGTGGATGCCTTCGGCCCTATGGCCGAGGGCTCCAAATTCTAGGAGACAACTTGATATGGACCTGCAAAGCTTCTGGGAATTTGTTGCTAAAATGTTACCCTTCGGCTACATGATGCCTTCGGTTATCACATGCCTTCAGCTACATGATGTATTCGGCTATCGTATGCCTTCAGCTACATGATGCCGTCGGCCACACGTAGGCTTTCAGTATATAGCAGACTCGACGAAGATTCCTTTTAGAGACAGACAACCACCACATTTAATGCGGCATCACGTCCAATTACCGCATTTAATGCGGTACAGTACATGCAAATGACGGTGCCACCCAGATTGCGGTGACCCTTGGTTGTCACATGTTTGACACGTGTCCCTGTCTAGCATTTATGGCTACTATAAATAGCGCCGTTTTCCACTGTAATCGACACAACTGAGATATATCGAATATACACTCCTTCTCTCTCTTACTTGGTCTGACCTCTCTCCAGGTTATTCACCGTAATAACCTTTCGGATAAGCTACCCTTGGGTACACTATCCATCAGAAAGTGTTTGGTAATATGTTGTCTGAAATGGCTGATTGAATGTAAACTTACAATAAAGGGTATTAGTTTAATGTTGTTTTCAATACATTTGATTACGACGCATCCCTTACCTCCCCTAACTCCTTATTCGGTCTCAAAATAATGCGTATATATTTTTTTCGAAAAAGTGGCTAATAGTGAATAATAAGAATTCAGGCAAGATACAAATAATATTTTGAATTTAAAATACTTAAAAGTATTTAAAATTCAAATAAAATAATAGGAAGAAAATTGAATTATATGTGAGTTAAAAAGCATAATAAGTTCAAAATAAACCAAAATATTCACACCACATAAGAAATAAAATCACCACAACTTATTAAACCCAACTACCCAATCTTCATTAGATAAATATGGACTTCTGGAGCAACTTAGCAGGAAGGCTTCAAGAAGGATTGATAGAGTAAATTCTAGAGAGAAGTGAGAGCTAGAGAGAGAAGTGCAAGTAAATGCTTCAATAGAATAATTTTGTAACCTCTATAACTACCTCCAGAGGAAGTATTTATAGGAAAAATACGGGCTGGGCTCCCAAGCCTTGGGCTTGGGAGGCCCATTTACAACTGGACCGCTATTGGGCCAAATACAAAGTAGATGGTGGGATACATAAATGATTAAGTGTAAAATCTAGTTCTGCGAGTCCTTCGTGGCCGACGAGGACACCCTGGTTCCCCGGCCTTAGGGGCATATTCTGAGTCGGTCCCTCTTCGGCCGACGAGGGTCCTTTGGCCGACGAGGGCACCGCGTAGTGGCTTGTGCTTTCTGTTCTTCTGAGTATGTGGGTCCTGGGGCCTAGACCCATATACTCCATCA